ATAGTATAGTTTAATACACTATTATTAGTATTATTTCCTTCAAATTACTATTGTATTTTGTTCATGTGGCTCCGTTTACAATCTGTAAATACTATAGTATATGCAGTATTATACACTTTACCATAGTACAGTTCAGCAACACAATTAATACATATTGTAGTATTTACTATACTATAGCATTTTTGTCAAATGGGTCCTTTCATATGTCGTAAATACTGTAATATACACAGTATAAAATATAGTATATCTCATAAACACTATTAATTAATATTTAAAGTAGTATTTATTATAAAATACTGCAGTATTTTGTTCATGTGGGTTCATTCATAATCTGTAGATATTACAATATATGCAGTATTATGCATCTATGGTTCAAAACGCTATTAAATAGCATTTACTTCAAATTACTATAGTATGTTTGCTCATGTGGTCCATTTAGGATCTGTAAAAACACGTATGTGACTTTTAGCTGAGAGCATTGTTAAATCATTTGAATGCATATGTTTGGATCACCGCTATATAATCAGGACTGCCTCAATGTGAAGCTGTTGATCCCAGAGTCTTAAATTAGGATATTCAGAAAAACGGCTCACGGTGGGAAAGCATTTATTACAGTAATTCAGCAGATTATGTAATATCTCTCCATACAAAAACCCAAAGAGAGATCTGAAGACTCCCCGCTGTTCACCACTGATGTTCATTTACTGCAGTGACACAGCATTTGCTGAATCCGTCTGTATTATAGTCAAACTGAAATCTATATATTATAATTTACTATAATATTTTGTTCATGTGGGTCCAATTATAGCCTGTAAATACTGCAATATATGCAGTATAATACACTTTACTATAGTACAGTTTAAAACTATTAGTTAGTACTTAGTATTTACTATAAATTACTATAGTATTTTGTCACATGGGTCCTTTAGTAATATGTAAATACTATGGTATATGCAGTATAATACACTTTACTACAGTATAATTCAAAACTATTAGTTAGTACTTAGTATTTACTATAAATTACTATAGTATTTTGTCACATGGGTCTTTTAGTAATATGTAAATACTATGGTATATGCAGCATAATACACTTTACTACAGTATAATTCAAAACTATTAGTTAGTACTTAGTATTTACTATAAATTACTATAGTATTTTGTCACATGGGTCCTTTAGTAATATGTAAATACTATGGTATATGCAGTATAATACACTTTACTACAGTATAATTCAAAACTATTAGTTAGTACTTAGTATTTACTATAAATTACTATAGTATTTTGTCACATGGGTCCTTTAGTAATATGTAAATACTATGGTATATGCAGTATAATACACTTTACTACAGTATAATTCAAAACTATTAGTTAGTACTTAGTATTTACTATAAATTACTATAGTATTTTGTCACATGGGTCCTTTAGTAATATGTAAATACTATGGTATATGCGGTATAATACACTTTACTACAGTATAATTCAAAACTATTAGTTAGTACTTAGTATTTACTATAAATTACTATAGTATTTTGTCACATGGGTCCTTTAGTAATATGTAAATACTAAAGGTATATGCAGTATAATACACTTTACTGTAGCATAGTTCAAAAACACTGTTAATTAATGCTTAATATAGTATTTACTATAAATTACTATAGTATTTAGCTCATGTGGGTTCTTTCATAATCAATCAATATAATATAATAAGCATTTATTACAGTAATTTAGCAGATTATGTAATATCTCTCCATACAAAAACCCAAAGAGAGATCTGAAGACTCCCCGCTGTTCACCACTGATGTTCATTTACTGCAGTGACAGCATTTGCTGAATCCGTCTGTATTATACAGTCAAACTGAAATCTATTTAAAACTGCATTTTCAGGTCTCCTTTTATCAAGAATGCTTTACTTTACTTTCTTTATTGTCCACAAGTGGAAATGTATCTTTGGCTTCACCACACAGATGCATCAGCGTTCACATTACACACATCACAGAAAAAACAGGCACAAATGCTCAATTTGAAACCCTGTACATACTTAAAACCCAGTATTTAAAATGATAAGGGCACTCGGCACGTTTGATACACATTTTTCCTTACTTAAGGTTGCCAGTTAAATGTGACCCAATTCCCGATTTTTTGCTCATGTGACAGATCGGATCTGTTCTATGACCGTGTAAACACGAAAAAAACGCAAGCATTCGGATATTCAGAGGTGGGTTTCAGGTCTTCTTCATATGTGGAAATAAATCAGATACAGATGGGATATGTGACGATGCGACTGTCATGTAAACAGGCAGATCGAATTTATTGAGGCGTTACGTTCTGTACATCATTAAACTTGCGACAATGTTCTGCATCTCCACGGTTTAATGACGTAGCATGTGTGGAGATGCCGACGCGGGAAACAACATCAGAGGAAACACAGAGGAGGAAAGTGGTCAGTCGCCACAATTCGCTCCCAGCAGACCTGAGATCTTTCTCGTAACCACAAATTCCTCTGAATGGTGGAGGACATCATAAAGCATATCAACCATAAGCGCAAGCTGCAATGACGACCCTTTCCCACCTCCTCCTCAAAATCATTTTAAAGTTGGGCGAACTTTTTGTCGATATTAACACACGCACTGCGGGCAACACATAGAATATTCTCTCCAACACCAGTGCGCACACAGGCAAAGGCTACATCTTCAACTACACACACACACACATCAGGGCCATACCATTACATAAACTGCGTGGGGGAAAATCTGGACTAAACCATTCACTGCTTATACTACACTTCGCATATTTCACAGAGCTAAAAACAAGACAATTTCTTCCATCATGGCTAGTGTGGTACAGATGCTAGAACCCGCCTTTATGCATGCGCGACATCGTAAATGGTATGGCAAGTGTAAACGCATGAATTGGATATGGGTCACAATTAAAACAACATGTAAACAGACAGGCAAACAAATCAGATATAGGCAACAAATCGGAATTGGGCATCAAGACCTGACAGTGTAAACGGGGCCTTTGTTGGCAGGAGCTGAAATTTAATATGTAAGAGGATGGGAACAATCATCAATAATGGCATGTGCTTTCTGTTTAATTCTCACTGAATACATTTCACTTGGTTGTCTTTGTGCTTTACCTTCAATTGCACTGGCAATTTTTACTACTCCACGTGAAGTTTCACAAGCTAATTTCGAGAGGAGCATGTAATATGATTGACTGCAGCTGGTCTCTCATCTACAATCATTAGTTAGCCAATCAGATTAATCCATACTCACTATAAGTAGCCTTGCAAAAATCACTCCCTTATCTTCGTTTATGAAGATACCCACCCCTTCTCCCCCTTTACCATGGCGGCTCTCGAGAACCACCTGATCTCGTACTCCCATTACATGCTCTATTGACCAGGTGGGAGCCCTGGGCTCAATTACTTCCAAGCTCAGGGTTCTCTCCCGGGACAGCATGCCACCCCTGCTAATAGCATCAAGCAATATAAGTGTGAACTCTTGAAACAGTTTTTGCTTTTCCTTAATTGGCAACAGTCCATACCATGCAATCATAGTCAAACTCACAACACTTTCAACCAATTGCTTGTATACCATCTCCAGAACATCCTGACTCGGATTGTTGTAACCTCCTAATGAGATAATCTCTGCATTGCTTTTTAAAAAAATGCGCTCTGCATTTGCAGCAAATGTTAATCGACAATCAATGAGTGTTCCTAAATGTTTAAAACATCCAACTGTCTCTATTTCTCTGTTTCAACGTTTGACTAAGGACTAGTAGGAATAAAAATTATCATAAGCATTTGTTTATATGTCTTTTTTCGTCAAAAGAAGGCTCACACAAATTCCAAAGGAAGATGAGGGCCTGGTGTGTGGACTTTGGGAATTTTACGATGTGGTCACATGTTGATTGGTCAAGTTTGAATGAATGGATCGTCAAAATAGAGCCCGTTAGGTTGAACATTACAAAATATGTTTGTTTAAAATTAGCCCATATAAATTGTTTGCAACCAAAATGTGGTAAATTCAATTCATATTTTTTCAGTGTACAGTTGAAGTCAGAATTATTAGCCTGCTTTAAATTTTTTTTTCTTTTTTAAAATATTTCCCAAACGATGTTTAATAGAGCAAGGAAATGTTCACAGTATTTCTGATAATATATTTTCTTCTGGAGAAAGTCTTATTTGTTTTATTTCGGCTAGAATAAAAGCAGCTTTTAATTTTTTTAAACGCCATTTTAAGATCAATATTATTAGCCCCTTTAAGCTATATATATTTTACAATAGTCTACAGAACAATCTATCATTATACAATGACTTTCCTAATTACCCTAATCTACCTAGTTAACCTAGTTAAGCCTTTAAATACCACTTTAAGTTGTATAGAAGTGTCTTGAAGAATATCTAGTCAAATATTATTTACTGTCATCATGACAAAGAAAATAAATCAGCTATTAGAAAAGAATTATTAAAACTATTATAATTAGAAATGTGTTGGAAAAAAAATCTGCTCTCCGTTAAACAGAAATTGGGGAAAAAATAAAGAGGGGAACGAATAATTCTGACTTCAACTGCATATGTGGGAAAAAAAATTTGTCTTTAAGGCAGTTGTGTCAAACTCAATTCCTGGAGGGCCGAAGCCTTGCACAGTTTAGTTCCAACCCTGCTCCAACACGCTTACCTGTAGGTTTCAAACAAGCCTGAAGGACTCAATTAGTTTGATCAGGTGTGTTTAATTAGGGTTGCAACTAAACTGTGCAGAGATGCGGCCCTTTTGGAACGGAGTTTGACACCTGTGCTTTAAGGTGTCTCATTGTGTTTTTTTGTTAGTAAATTGAAGAAACGGGCAAAAGTTATAGAAAAACGTAATTTCCGTAAATCATAACTTTTGAAATCATTTTTTTATTAAAAATACCATAAAAAGTAAAATCATTGCTTTTTATCATTACAAGTTACTTTTTAAAAAATATTTTTAAGGAAAGAAATGGAAAAGTAGGTGTCATGTTTGCCTATTCTTTAATGATCAAGAATGATTTTAAGACACTGTTGAGTACCTAAATGTGATTTTTTTTTATTTAGAAATAAAAGAGAGGAGGATAAGAAACAAGATAATGATAAAAGAGTGACATAAAAGTGAGATGAGAATACAACATGGCAATCCAGCCTCTCATACAGTTAACAAACACCCAGAAGACATTAACATCAAGAGTTAACATCTTGAAGAAATCAAGAGTAATGTGTGTGTATGTGTGTGTCAGTGCGCGCGTGCGCTCAGGGTTTATTTTGTGGTGCTGACGGTGGTTTTGTTGACAGGGATGTTAACTTCTGGGGCCTGGATGGCAGGTTTGGGAAGCGGAGCTTCAACAGTCAGGACTCCTTCAGGAGAAAGACAGGAGCTGATCTTCTCAGAGTCCACACCAGGGGGCAGACTGGAGCAAAACACAAAAACAACACAATTATATAAAGACGACAGAGTTTCCAGTATTAAAGAAAAGATCATGTTCACATATTAAAACATTCATGTATGCACATTACAACCCTTTCAGCTCACTTTTGTCATACTTGGAATAATAAAAATATAGATTGGAGAAATATAATGTGATATAATAAAATGTGCTGCAATATAATAAATATTTATATATATATATATATATATATATATATATATATATATAATTATAAATAAAATAATTATAACATATATAAATGATAAAAATAGCTCAAAAGAAAAAATAGCAGAGAAAAAAATAGCAGAGAAAAGCTATGCATCACAAAGATTTAAAGATATAAAATGTTATGCAATGTGATGCATAAATCAATGTCAAGAGCCCTCATCTCCTATTTTCTCAGGAATCTCCCAGACTCTTGATCCTCCCTATCTAGTGTGCTTGAAGTGTGCATGTCTGGAGAATGTCTGTACTTACGTGTATTTCCTGGTGAAGCATCTGGAAATGAAGCCGTGTTCATCCTTTCTCTCCTCATGTTTGCCTGCAGACGAAGAGGAGACAAGTTAAAAGTGAGATATTATGCAAACATCACTTTAATAAGGAGTTTAAACTCAGTTGTGTGGCAGAGGTGTGTGAATATAATGGTACAAATGAATTAATTCTATATTTTTATAATCAGGCTTGATCAAAACAGTCTGCAGGAACACTTCGATCGACATTCTGCCTTTGTACTTGTCATCAGAGTGGGAAAGCCCCGCCCACTAGTGACCCTCTCTCCCTCATTAGCATAAACAGCAGCCCTGAGTGAGAAGCAGCCGTCTGTCCATTAGCCATTAGAGTGTTTGAGCTGCTGAAGATGATGTCAGCAGAGACTAAGAGGATTATAGATGTGGAGTTTATAGATGTGGAGTCTCCATAGACTGACTCATTCTCATACACTGGCATTCACATCACATTCAATTGTCTACTGAAGAAGCCTCTGGTATACAATAACTTGCCTAATTACCCCAACATGTCTAATTGACCTAGTTAAGCTTCTAAATGTCACTTTAAGCTGAATACCATCTTAAAAAATATCTAGTAAAAGCAGAATAAGGAATTTCATTAAAGTTTAAAACCATTTGAGTGTGAGTAAATGATAAGGGGATCCTCACTTGTGGGTGAGCTGTCCCTTTAAGAACTCTTGCTCTTGATATCCTGTAAACTCTGGCTGACCCAGCAGGTAACCAACACTAGCTCTGTTTGTTTAGACAACCCTTCTGACAGACGGCCACAGTGATGGACTTGATATGAGGATCATTAAAAGTCCAGCACATCTGATTCATAAGATAAAGTTAACCTCACTATTTGATGCTTTTACAATGAGAGGAAATGAAGGGTGGGACTCGTAATTAACGTGTTAATTTCTTTACTTTATATATGACTTTTTCATGTGGACAGCTTGGAATAGTGTTTTACAGCAAATACTGCGGTGATTTATAAACATATTGTAGTAAAATACTCTATAAGACTTAATATAATTCAAATGATTTTAGAAATACTTCAGAAAGTAAATCAAATAGAAAATAAATAAATCAAACGAAATCAATCAAATAAAATAAAATCGAATTGAATCAAAACAAATAAATAAAATGCAATCAATCTAAATCAAATCAAATAGACCAAACAAAATTAAATTAAACAGAATCAAATCAAAACAAACAGAATTCATTTCAATCAAATTAATTCAAATCAAACTGAATCAAATCAAACAAAATTGAATCAAATCAAATAGAATAGAATCAAATAAATTTAAATAAAATGCAATCAGACCGAACCAAACAAATCCAAACTGTAATGAATAGAACCAAACCAAATTAAACCAAAAAAACTAAAAATAAAATAAAGTACAATAAATTAAATGCAATCAAACTAAATCAAATCAAACCGAACCAAACCAAACAAAATCAAATCAAATACAATCAAATCAAAACAGAAATCAGAATTATTTTAATCAAATTAATTAAAATCAAACTGAATCAAATCAAACAAAATCGAATTAAATCAAATTAAATCAAATCTAATAAATTTAAATAAAATGCTATCAAACCAAACTGAATGGAACTGATCTGAATCGAACCAAACCAAATAAAAATAAAATAAAATTTTAAAAATGCAATCAAAATGAATCAAACCAAACAGAATCAAATCAAATCAATATCAAACAGAATTCCTTTCAATCAAATTAATTTAAATCTAATCAAATTGATTCAAATCAAATAAAACAAAATAAAATCGAATCAAATCAAAGTAAATCAAATCAAATAGAATAAAATAAATTTAAATAAAATGCAATCAAACCGAACCAAACCAAACCGAACTGAACAGAATCAAACTGATCTGAATCGAACCAAACCAAAATAAAATAAATAAAATGCGATCAAGCTGAATTAAATCAAACTAAATCAAAACGAACAGAATATTATATATTTAAAGTTTAAATATGGTAATTCATAGTAAATACTGTGTTTTGAATCAAACTCTATAGTCAAAGTCCCTTTATACTACAATACACCACAGTTTACTGTAGTAATAACTAAGGTATTTAATACAGTTTATTAGTGACTGATGGGGAGGGGGAGGAGTCTCTGTCAGATTTATTCATGTAAAGTCTGAAGAGCGCAATATGTTGCCATATTAACATATTTAATAATTGAAAATATAGCCAGAAAGGTTGTCCACTGCAGGCTAAGTGGAGAATTGCATTAAAAAAGATATGCTTCATTCCTTAAATGTATTAGATATTAAATAAATATGTTCTTGCAAAGTTCCAATTGTAACTTTTTTTTTTAATTAAATGATAAAAATATTTAGAAAAATAGTCAAACTTGTATTTATAGAGCATATATTTGCATAAATGCATGTTTAAGCAAAGAAATTAGCATTTTAAAGATTATATTTTACTGCTAATGTTTTATAGTAAGAGTATTAAAGAGATAGTTCACACAAAACCTTTTCAAACCTTTTAAATGTTCTTTCTTCTCGAACACAAATGAATATATTCTGAAGAGAGCTGAAAACCTGTAACCATTGACTTCCACAGTAGGAAAAACAAATGCTATGGAAGTCAATGGTTACAGGTTTCCAACATTCTTCAAAATATCTTCTTTTATGCCCAACAGAAAAAAGAAAGTCGAATAGGTTTAAAACAAGTGAGTGAATGATGAAACAGTTGTCATTTTTGGGTAAACTAAACATCCGAGCCTTAGGTTGAGGATGCAGATTTTTTTAGTGTATAGCTTTATCCTTGTTCAACTCTAAATATCCTGCAGATGCTGTTTTGAACTGTGCTTGGCTCCGGCGTCGTAATATCTCAGGAATTTAGCTGGCTGCTCTTGTCAGCTCCCACCCGACACAATACAAAAGGTCTCCCAGCAAGGCCTGTTATTCATGCATTTATTTCACACTTGACCACCTCTCTTCCTCACTCAAGCCTGTAATTGTGCACATAATAAAGCATGCTTTGGAAAACACAAAGTTGGATCAAATGTGGACAAACACAATCATTGGGGGGTGTCATTATTATTTTGAATAGCATTTTTAATCCAACATATTTTACAAGTCGTGATTAAAAGGTCTGACTAAGCCAAAAAAGACACTGTCATAAAGTCAAATATTGGGGAAAAAGTCATCATTTTAATATATGAAGTTAAAACTGCCAATTTAAATAATATCATAATTATGATACTAGATACAATATCGAAGACATTCTGTAAATAAGTGATAAACATTCATGACATTAAATTAAATACAAAATTATTAAAAGTTATATTTTTAATAATTTATTTTGATAAAAATTGCAATTTGGATATGAAATCAAATCGAGTCAAACAGAATCAAACGGAGTCAAACAGTCTCAAATAAAAACCAAACAAATAGTTAAAATTAAGATAGTATAAATTAAAATCAAATCAAATGTGTAATAAAATCTAAAGCAAATCAAATAGAATCATACCAAAACAAATGCAATCAAATCAAAACAAATTAAAATGATGTAAAATCAATGAAATAAAATTAAATTAAATGGATAATAAAATTAAATTTGAATCAAATCATACAGAATTAAAAAAAATAATAATAATAATATAATTTTTTAAAAAATCATAATAAATGAAATCAAATAAAAAAGATAATAAATTGAAATCAAACCAAATCAAATTCAATCAAACCAAACAGAATCAAATCAAAACAAAATGAAATAAAATAATATAAAATGAAATCAAACCAAATAAAATAAAATAGAATAAAACATAATAATACAAAATTTTGTAATAAAAAATAATAATCAAACAGAATCAAACCAAACGAAACGGAATCAAATCAAAAAGAATAAAATCAAATTAAAATAATATAAATAAAATGTAATCAAATGGACTCAAATCAAATCAAAAGAAAATAAAGCAAATCAAATGGATAATGAAATAAAATAAAAATCCAATTGAATCAAATCAATATAAATGGATAATAAAATAAAATGAAGTCAAACAGAATCAAACAGTTTCAAATAAAAACAAAACAAATCAAGTTAAAATAATATAAATTAGAATAAAATAAAATGGAATCAAATCAAACAGAAAAAAAACAAATCAAATGGAATCAAATCAAATCAAAACAAATTAAACTGATGAAAAATAAAATGGAATCAAATCAAACAGAATTAAAACAAAACAAAATTTAAATAATACATAGTAAAATAAAATAAATTAAATGATATTTAATTCAACAATCAAAACAAAACTAATTAAATGAATATAAAATAAATTAAAATGGAATCAAATCAAATCAAACAAAATTAAAACAAAACAAATAAAATTCAATTAAAATATAAATTGAAATTAAATTAAAAGCAATCAAATCAAACAGAATCAAATTAAAACAAAACAAATTAAAATAATATCAAATCAAATCAAATTAATAGTAAAATCAAATCAAACCGAATCAAACTAGATCAAACACAATCAAACCAAAACAAAACAAATAAAAAATAAAATCAAACAGAATTAAAACAAATCAAATTCAATTAAAACAATATAAATTAACATCAAATCAAATGGAACCAAATTAAATCAAATCAAAACAAAAAGATCAGAAAATCTAATTAAAATCAAATCAAAATGCAATCAAACCAAATAAACTCACCAGTGATCTCCAGCACCCCGTCTTTGGTTTTAACGTTCAGCTCCTCGGGGGAAAAGTGATTGACATCTAGGCTGATCTTCCAAGAGTCTCCGGTCTGCTTGACCTCCGACATCCCAGAGCTCAGCTGTCTAGAAAGGGCTCGTCCGTAACTCGGGGTCATCATAGGAGGCATCACAGGTGGGCCCTGCATTAAAGAAGCAAATTCGGGGTGTCCGAATGGTCGCATATACCCTGGCCAGTGCGTGCTGGGAAACGTCAACATCTCCTCAGATAAAGCAGGCATCCCGAAAGACTGATCGAACAGTCTGCTGCCCTGATACCAGTCCCGAAACGGGTCCCAGGACGGGCTGCGCATGAAGGAGAATGGGATGCGTCTCTCGGCCATTGCTGCAGAAGTTTTGAAGAGTTGTTTTTCGGCTCGGTTCAGAGTGTGTGTGTGTGTTCTGATTGTTTGCATGGGGCTGGGACTTTTATAAGAAGGCTTTCTGGAGGACACACCCACTTCAGGACACTTCTGCAACAGCCCAGTCCCGTCCGGATAATTATAGAAGTGACTAGAAAGTCTATTCAGGGACGGCCCTCGCATGAGGAAGGAATCTGAGGCAAAGGCTGATAGTGTGTATTTAATACTGGACTGTGAACAATATGTTGGTGAATTCAAGTTTTTTGTATTTTGTGACTTTTGAATTGCATTTTGGGAGCTTGATCTTTCTTTTAACAACTCTGAACCTTGACTTTTATTATTATTTTAGTTTAAAGTGATGTATTGTCTTGTATATTACGCTGCAAAAACCTTATAATAAACTGCCCTTATTACATTTTCTGTTATTTTACAGACTTATTTATCTTTATATTATTTTGTATTAATTATTCGAAATGTCTGAAACTGTAGAGCTGTGTGAAATAAATAAATAAATAAATATATATATATATATATATATATATATATATATATATATATATATATATATATATATATATATATATATATATATATATAATTATTATTATTATTTTTTTTTACAGTATAGTAAAATACAGTTCACACCACAGTTAATACTGTATAATTTACAAAAATCGTTATGGTTTTTTACCGTAGCATTTTTAACCATTGAAATCATGGACTTTTTTTTTCAATGCAGAATTTTTATGTGTTTTATTTTTTACATTTTACATTTGAACAAAAACTTTGAGTTAGAATTGGCTAGTGGTATGAATAATTTAATGCTTGACTGTATATAAACACTTTTCACACACCCTGCCTGTATATTATATTATGTTATTATATAGCAAAACAAAACTAAATCAAACCAAAGCAAAAAACAAAACAAAAACAAAGGAAATCAAACCAAAACAAAATGCAAACCAAATCAAATTAAAAACAAAGCAAAGCAAAAGAAATGAAACAAAATCAACCAAAAACAAAATACAAAGTGAAAATCAACCAAAAACAAAATACAAAGTGAAAATCAACCAAAAACAAAATACAAAGTGAAAATCAACCAAAAACAAAATACAAAGTGAAAATCAACCAAAAACAAAATACAAAATACAAAGTGAATCAAATAAAATAAAATCAAAAACAAAGCTTAGCAAATCAAATGCAATAAAATCAAATTAAGGCAAATCAAATCAAAACCCAAAACAAATCAAACCAAAACAAAACAAATAAAACCAAAACAAAATTAAATCATATCAAATTAAATCAAATTTAATCAAATCAGGTCAAATCAAATTAAAACCCAAATCAAATCAAATCATATCAAAACCCAAAACAAATGAAAATAAAACCTAAAACAAATCAAAACCAAACATAACAAATCAAATCATATCAAATCTAAACCCAAAACAAATCAAAACAAAACAAACAAAATCAAAACAAGCAAAATCAAAACAAAAAACAAAAAAGCAGAGCAAACCTTTATTTATATTATACTTAATTATATTATAAACCTTACTATCATAAGGTTTTTGGACACTCTGGCACACTTAAAAATGTTTTCAAAATACCACTGCATTACATATATTGGAAGATAAATAATAGTAAAGCAGTAAAGATGAATGTAGGTTTCCTTTGGGTTAGTCCCCTATTTATCAGAGGTTGCCACAGCAGAGTGAACCACCAACTATTCCAGCAAATGTTTTACTCAGTAGATGCCCTTTCAGCAGCAACCCAGAAGTGGAAAACACCCATGCACGCACACACACACACACACACACACACACACACCAGACAATTTAGTTCATCCATTCGCTTATAGTGCATATGATGTTTGGACTTTGGGGGAAACCAGAGCACCCGGAGTACCCACAGTGCTAACCATTGAGCCACCAGTTATTTTATTTTAACCACTAATTCATATGTCATACTTGATAAAGTAGGCATCCCAAAAAGGCAGAGCTGTTAAAGCTTTACTTTCTGGAGTCAAACACAAACACAGGCTGCAGTGTGTGGACAGCAGGAATGTGAGGATTGTTGAACAGCAGACACAGACAGAGCGACTCAGCAGAAACACAGCCTTATAATAACAACAGCTGCTCAATCACACCTGTGCTGTTGCTGCTGGCATCCCTGTGTGTGAATATAAATGTCTATAATCTAGTTCCAACATTGCAATGATCTATATATATACAACTGAAAAGTTATATTCGTTTGTTTTTTAATCAGCCCATTTCATTAAGACTCTAGCAAGGGTGTGATAGTCCTTAAAATCTCTTGGTTTCCTGAGCTCTGACTGTGCCAATGTGATGCAAATGCTACAGGCAGGCCTTTAATGACTGGTCACCTGGCGGAAGTGTTCTGATTCCACTACACCATTTGCACACTTTGTTTTCATGCTAAAAGGTTGTGAATGGGTACTTACATGCTGATGAGATCAGGGCTGGAGAGGCAGTTCACCGTGCTGACAACAATTCATTTGCATGCTTTGTTTAGGTTTGTCCTCACCTCTGTCTCATACCTGTTAACATTGCGATGTGAAAATAAGGGATATGCCCACCATAATAAAGGATTCGCCTGACCCCCCCAAACCCCTAAAAATCCCCAAATTAATATGTTTTCTTTATATTAATATTATTTACAAAATAATTCATTCATTCATTCATTCATTTTCTTGTCGGCTTAGTCCCTTTATTAACCAGGGTAGGAATGAACCGGCAACTTATCCAGCAAGCTTTTACGCAGCAGATGCCCTTCCAGCCGCAACCCATCTCTGGGAAACATCCACACACACATACACTACGGATGATTTAGCCTACCCAATTCACCTGTACTGCATGTCTTTGGACTGTGGGGGAAACCAGAGCACCCGGAGTAAACCCACACAAATGCAGGGAGAACATGCAAACTCCACACAGAAACACCAACTGAGCCGAGCCAAGCCGAGGCTGCGCCACTTCTTCACCCAAAATAAATCAAATGGGTAATAAAATCTAAATCAAACAGAATCAAACCGAATCAAATTCAATCAAATCAAAGCAAATTAAAATAATATAAAATAAAAAATAATAAAAAATCAAATCAAACAGAATTAAAACCAAACAAATCACATTAAAAATATATTCATATTAATTAAAATCGAATCAAATAAATGGAATCAAACAGACAATAAAAAAAATCTAACCAAATCAAATTCAATCAAATCAAACAGAGTCAAATCAAAACAAAACTAATTAAAATAATATCAAATCAAATTAAATAAAATAGAATAAAGCAAAATAATACAGCATAATATAATAAAAATAAAATCAAATTAAAATCAAACAGAATCAAATCGAAATGAATCAAAATAAAATAAAATAAACTCAAACCAAATCAAATCAAATGAATAATGAAAAAAAATAAAAATCAGATGGAATCAAATCAAAACAAATCAAACAGATAATAAAATTTAATCAAGTCAAACAGAATCAAACCGAATCAAATCAAATCAAACAGTCTCAAATACAAAAATTATCAAATAAAAAATACTTAAAATCAAATCAAATGGGAAATAAAATCTAAATCAAATCAAACAGAATCAAACCAAATAAAATGCAATCAAATCAAAACAAATTAAAAAGATATAAAACAAGACAAAATTAAATCAAATCAAATGGATAATAAATCGGAATCAAATCAAACAGATTTAAAACAGGATGTTAAAGCAGAGATCAACATCCTAAAATGCAATTCACAACCAGAAATAAACTGAAAACCCTAGGGAATCACCAAATACAAAACTATATATTAACTATATTTATAAATATATATTTATGTATACAGTAAAATACAGTTCATAACACAGTTAAATACTGTGTAATTTAGAAAAATCTTTATGGATTTTTACCGTAGCATTTTTACCATTGAAATCACTGAATTTTTTTAAAGTGCAGATTTACTGTAAGTTAGCATTTTTTTGTATTTTTATTTATTTATTTTTTACACTTGAACAGTTAAAATTGGCCAGGGGTATGAATAATTTCATGCTTGACTGTATATAACTACTTTTTACACACCCTGCCTGTATGTTATATTCTGGTATTATATAGCAAAACAACATTAAATCAAACCAAACCAAAGCAAAAAAAACAAACAAACAAAAAAAACAACAACAAACGAAATCAAAACAAAACAAAACCCAAAACAAATAAAACTAAACAAAAACAAGCAAAGCAAACCAAAGCAAAACCCAAAACAAATCAAATCAATCATACCATATTATTTCATATTATGTCATATCAAACCAAATTAAAACAATACAAAACCCAAAAAATCTAAACAATACAAAAGCCAAATAAAAACAAAACAACAAACGAAATCAAACCAAAACAAAACCCAAACAAATAAAACTAAACAAAAACAAAGCAAAGCAAACCAAAACCCAAAACAAATCAAATCAGTCAAAACAAAATCATGCTATACTAAAAAAAATCAAATTAAATCAAATCAAATATAAATGATAAATAATAAAGATACATAATAGTAAAGCAGTAAAGATGAATCTAGGTTATTATGACTTTTAGTCTTATAATTATTGCATTTTAACTTTTTACTAACTCCAGCTCATTCATTCAATCATTCATTCATTCATTCATTCAATTTCAGGCAGGCTTTTAAGGACTCTTCCTTTGTCTTTGTGTAATACTTTCAAGCTGGTCACCTGGCGGAAGTGTTCTGATTCCACTACACCATTTGCACACTTTGTTTTCATGCTAAAAGGTTGTGAATGGGTACTTACATGCTGATGAGATCAGGGCTGGAGAGGCAATTCACCCTGCTGACAACAACAATTCATTTGCATGCTTTGTTTAGGTTTGTCCTCACCTCTGTGTCATACCTGTTAACATTGGGATGTGAAAATAAGGGATATGCCCACCATAATAAAGGATTTGCCCGACCCCCCCAAAACCCTAAAAATCCCCAAATTACTCAATATGTTCATTCGGAGCCGTTTTATTGTACAGGTAA